GAAATTAGAAAAATTCCGGCAAGTCACAAAACCCAAAATATACCCCGAAACTCGAAAAATCCCTAAGTATTTTATTTAATTTGCCTTTTAGATATTTGATAACAAATTAGATATATTGATAACAAGTTGAAAGCAAAATTAATCAGTATTCTATGGGAAAAAATAGTAAAAACAACATTTTTAAAAGTCATGAGGAAGTCATATTTTATTTTGTTGGTTGTTTGAATATTTGCTCATATTTGCTACTCGGAGGTAAGTTTGCCGAGGGTAAATGTTTTTTATAATTGCCAGGAGGAAGCACATACCTCTAGCTCTGGCTATTCCAAAGTGCTTTTATATGTGAGTAGTATTTTGTTACTATGAACTCGTGTTGGCCCGATATTTTCACTTTAGTTAACTGCGTCAATCTGATGAAAGACTGAGATCCCAAAGAGGGCTGGACATTGACGTAGAAATTGGTGTATTGATTTTTTATCTTCACACCCAACATGCTCTCTTCAGGAGAACTTGTTGTCATATGCCATCGCCGTAGCATTGGAGCAATATTACAGTGTCCTGTGATGTCGCCGTTGACAATTCCTACTGCGGATGTCAAAAGTTAATCAGCTGGTTTTTTGTGAATATCGGCCGTCGTAATAATTGTTACGTTACTTAATGGTTGGCGTACTCGTAAACTTTGCTCTATAGATCACGAATCAGTGTTTATAGGGATTATTCCACTACCTTGGATCAATGAATATAGTTACGTTCTCTGAGATTTTCTTACAATTTTGTATAAGATTCTCATCCTCCTCTATGGCTAAGGTCTCCGCCTGAAAGACACCGCAGTCGTTAGGAAAGCGATGTGATTGCCGCATTTATAAATAGAGACACACGCCAGCTTCTATTTACTTAATTGGGTCATTTGGTAAGATGGTAATACCATCATTTCACTTCAGTATGCTAGCGTTCAATTCTTTTAAAGTTGGATATCTAAGTCGGTATTGATCCAATTACGCCGTCTGGTTTAAAGTGACGTGCGGTGGAAGCCTCCAGATTTCCCCAAAGCTCCTTTTAATGTTAAGTCGTAAAAATGAAAATTTTGAAATTAACTTTTTTATTGGTATGATGGATTTCCTCGAATTACAACTGCCCACAAGGTTTTATAAAAAAAAAAATTGAGTCACGACTTTTTCCATTTCAGTGACGCTGTTTTACGTCGTTTTGCATTTTAGGTGACGACATGTATGTAATATTTCAAAACAGTTCCATTTAGTGTTATTTAGTGATGAAACGCACATTTGCAAAAGTTAAAGACCTATACCGCGTATGTGTATAGTACATATCTTTATATAGTCTTTATATACATATTTACAACATTTGGTGTTTATTTCCACTTCTGTTTTGCTTTCTTTATAATTAGCGTAGTTTTTCTAACAGCTGCTTTTCAATAATTCTCTTATCGTTAAAATTTACTTCCTTCATTACACATTTAATAAAATTACTAATTTTTTATATGTATTATTTTATTATGTGAGGCTTGCCGTGTATTGGAGCATTTGATTCCGATAAGCGTAAGTATATAAGTTGGCGCTATCTTTGGTATAAATATACACACTACTACACAAATTTTACAAAAATTATAATTAAAAATATGCCATTTATTGCAAATACATATGTATACTATGTATGTATGTAAATATTTCACTAATTCCAAGAAAACGATTACTCAAATCGCGGATTTATATAATATTTACTAAATATTTAATATTATAAATGAGAAAGTGAGTTTGTTTGCTTGTTACGCTTTCACGCCTTAACTACTCAACCGATCATTATGACACTTTTTGCCACTGGTGTCAAGTTAGCTCAGCTTAAAAGATAGGAGAGATTTCATCTCGTTTAGGGGGTGTGGCAACTCTCATACAATTTGATTTTTTTTTACTGCATATCTCTGGAGGCGTTTATGGGAGAGATCTGAAACTTTATACCGAGAGATGTATATAAAATCAATTCTTTAATATTCAAATAAGCCTTTGAAAGGGTAAGTCTGCCATTTGTCTTTCAAAACATCACAATTTTTCGTTAGACAATTGTCAATTCTGGCAACTATCTTGAGAGCTCTCTTTTGTCATTCGAAAGACTAATTGAAAAATTTGCTTACGAGTAGATCTTAGCGTTATTCTCTTTGGTTTCTTACAATAAGATGTCTAAAAATTAAATAAGTATAGATGTATATATATTTCTTTTTAAAACAATAAAAACTGAAAACTAAATTTGTTTTTGGTATTTTTGGCCTTTTAACAATAACAGTGTTCATTATCATATTATGAATATAGTGTTTTAATATTATTAAAAATTAAAAGAAAATTCAATTTTAAAAAGATAAAAATTCATAAAAAAGAAAAACTAGAGGAAAAGTTTTTAAAAATTAAATTAAGTATATATTTTTCTTTTTCAAACAATAAAATCAGAAAATAAAATTAAAAAAGAAAAACAATTTGATGCAAAAAATTAATAAAAAAAAAATTATAAAAATTATATTAAATTTAAAAACATAAATGTATATAGAGTGGGCAGCGGTAATGAGTACATTGTGATTTTGGTTACATATGTATATTTTCAAGGTTTTCAAAATTAAAATTAGTTTTTTTTTTAACTAAATCCATATAAATCAAACTATCAGGCTAGAAAAATGTAACAAATTTTCATCAAAATATCAAGTTTTTAATATGTATAACATAATATAAATTTTAGCATAACAAAGTGCAAAGCGGCTGCACAATGGCGTTGATTTATAATTTCTTTTTTATTTTTTTGCTGACGTCTTTTGCGGTTTTTTTTTCATATAACCAGTGTTCTTTATAAAACCTGGCGTAGACTTCTTTGGATTATCTTTGCATACGGTTTTGCGCATTTTCTTCCATAAGAAATTCATGGTTGTATGGAAAAAGTGCAATCAGATTAAAATGTTGAAATTCTGATAAAAAGTTTTTAAAATTTTCGAAGCACTGTATAAAGTTTGAAAACTTGATTTATATGGTTTTGGTTAAAGCATTTACCATATTTTCATTAAAATACAACAAAATTATTTTTAGTTTAAAAAACCTTTCAAATATTTAACAAAAATCACCTTGTACCTATTCATGGAAAAAAGTATACCTGTATTTAGTATTTAGAACTGCCTCAAAGCCCATGAAATTTTCCATGTACTTTATATGGGGAAGACACTTTTTCGTATAAATTGTATAGAATTCTTGAAAATCAATATTTTCGATCGAAAAACGCAGTTTCGCTTTGGAAAACAATACAAAATGGTTTATTTAACTATACTTTAATACTAACTAGATTTTATAGGTCTCCCAAATACCCCAAAAAAATCAATGGGAAGACCTATACAAAATATTTATTACACCATTTCTACGAAGAATTGTTTCCGCCATATAAAAAACATTGAAAATTTCATGGGCTTTGAGGCAGTTCTAAATATCATTTTTTTTACAAAAAAATACTGGTTTTCTTTTTTTCAAAATTTAGAAAATTCTCAGGAGGTGAGAGCTTAGATTTTAAACTTATTCGCGCGAATTTTACACCTCATTCATTACATCATTTCGACATATTTTGATTGGAAATTGGACAGCGAAAAGCAGAGCCATCTCTCGACGAACAAAAATTATGCTCTACAACTCTCTCGTCATGCCGGTTCTTCTATATCGAGCAGACGTAAACGATGTCAAACAAGAGAAGGCTTTGGGTATTTTCGAGAGAAATTACAATAAAAAAAGAAAAAAAAAATTAATTAAAAATCGAAAGAAATTAAAAAAAAAATCGAAAATAGAAAGATCATGCGAAAAACTAAATAAGATAAATTTTTATAAATTAAGCGAAATTAGAAAAAAAAACATTTTTATTTTTAAAACAATAAAATGTAAAAACTAAAAGAAGAAAGTTCCTGAAAAGTGAATGAAATTAAAAAAAAAATATATTTTTTAACAATCAAATTCAAAAATAAAAAAAAATAAATAAATTGAAATAGTAAGACATTAGTTAACAAGCAATTTAAAAGAAGCTTTTTAAGACAAGCTTTTCCTAGTGGAAAGAAAAAAAGAAAAATCAACTGGTTGGTAACCAATCAATTAACTCTTTTATGCACCAGATGGGCGAGGAGAGGATATCGTCTATTCATAAGCATTGCAATAAGCTTCTGATATGAAGATATTTTTTATGCAGGGCAACATTAAACTAGAATTACATCTTGAAATGTTTATGGTACATATAGCGAAGTGTGCCGGTTTAATTAGTATATTTCTAAAAAGTTGCATAGCTTGATAGTTTTCACTATTATTTTGCTATTTTTATCAACATCTGCGAAGAGTGCCCAATACTTCTGCTAATATCAACATACACTCACTTGACATTCCTTAGCTTATCTCGCCAATGTAATTCATATTTACAAAGAGAGCAAAAACGTTATGCGTAGTGCGCGATTATCGATCGTTCCCTTAATTCGAATACGAGTGCTAAGAAATTGGAAATTTATTTCTAATACTAAACGGACACTGATTAAAAGCAATTGAACGTTAGCGAATATGAAAATTGTGTACTCACAACTGATTGAATACACATACAAATATATGCATATACGACTGAATGGGGTTTTCCCAACCAATGTTATCGCATCTCTAAGGGTCAGCGCAAAAATTAGCGCAACTAGTAGAATGAGAATGCATCTTGGCATTCTGTAGTTTGCAAGCCAGCAGTGCAATCGGAACGTTATTATTGAGTGCCGTACTAAGAAGTGATTTTAAGTGATGAAAACGTAAATTAGAAAAAAATAAAAATAAAATATGAGACGATTTCAAATAGCATTGCTTTTTAGCATAGCTCTCTATCGGAGTTTTAAATGTGGTGCGTGTCGTGTGGTGAATCATTTGTAGTTTGACAAAGTTTCTAACTCTTAATGGTTAACCTTGAATTCGACACTTACATTTATTTATTTTTTCCTATACCTATAAATGCAGTGATAACCGCAACTGAATGCGAATCGAATGAACGCTGGAAGTGCTCTAATGGCGACTGCATACATATCAATGCACTCTGCGATGGCAGCAAGCATTGCAGTGATGGTTCCGATGAGACCGAAGAGTTTTGCAAAAATACACTATGTACACCGATATCATATCGTTGTGATTATGGCGCGTGCATAGCTTTGAGTCTGCTCTGCGACGGTGTAGCAGATTGTGTGGACGCGTCGGATGAAGATAGTGAGAAGTGTCGTAAGCGTCGCGAAGAAGTGCCGCCTGATGAAGTTGATGATGAAACAAATCGTCTTAATTGTGCGGGGTAAAACCATTGTTTACTTAAGTGTTTAGCAAGTTTTGCAGTGTTGCCATTTTGGGCCGTTTGGTGCTAGCTTAAGCTCTTTATACCCGAGCGCACTTGTGCACAAGGGTATATTAATTTTGTTCACATAACGGTTGTTTGTAACAGCCAAAACGAATCGAGATAGATATAGACAAATGTATACATAAATGATCAGGATAAAAAAAGAAATCGATTAAGCCATGTCTGTCTGTCCGTCCGTCTGTCCGTCTGTCCGTCTGTCCGTCTGTCCGTCTGTCCGTGTACACGATAACTCGAGCAAAAATTGAGATATCTCAACGAAATTTGGTATGTAGGTTTGCCTTAATCCAAGGTAGGTTGCTATTGAAAATGGGCGAAATCGGACTGTAACCACGCCCACTTCCCATATAACGGTAATTTCCAGAAATACGAAAACTGCGATATTTTAGTAACTACTGAAGATAAATCACTCAAAATTGGTATTTGCAATAATTTTTTGACAAAAAATAATAATATTATACATTTTTGGAAAATGGGCGTAGCCACGCCCACTTATGGTTACATGTGTATATCTTGGTAACCGCTGTACCAATTTCTACCAAACTTGGCACAGTTGTCGGCCTTCGTACAGCATACAAAATCGCCTAAAATTTTTAAAATCGGACGATAACCACGCCCACATCCCATATAACGGTAATTTAGAGAAATACAAAATCTTCGATAAATCAGTAAATATGGAAGCTAATTTATTCAAAATTGATGCTTGCAACAACTCTTTACCAAGAAATACGTTTGTGATAAATTTTTGGAAAATGGGCGTGGCACCGCCCACTTATGATCACATATATGTATCTCAGTAACCGTTCTACCAATTTGTACCAAACTCGGTGTGGTTATTGTGCTTGCCACATATAAGCAAACCGTTGAAAATTATTGAAATCGGACTAAAATAACGGCCGCTTCTCATATAACGGTAAATTTCAGAACTGCTTGAAACTTCAAAATTTCGAAATCTAAGGACTCTAATTTACTCAAAATTGATACGCCCCGGCGTACCATATAGCCGTACCTTTCGGTAAGGCGAAAAACATATATTTAATACGTGCGCCGGGTATTTAATGTTCGGCTCGGCCCGAACTTAGGCTTTCTTACTTGTTTTATTTTAAATTTCCCCAGAAATTTGCTTTTGGACCCTAGCTCCTTTGTTAGCCCTTTTAAATTTTAAATAGCCTTTTGAGGCTCCAAAATTCTTCACTTAATTTTAAACGATTCTGCTGTTTATGTGGAAAAACACATTTTTAACTGAAAGAGTGATTGTGGTAAAAATTGAAATTGGCCGCTTTTATTAAATTTTTAAAAATTTTTACATTTTCTGTCCGATTGGGGCGCTCTTATGTTTCACATTTTCATTATAAAATTTCCTTTCGTCCTATTTTTAAAATTTTTTTTATAAAGTTAAGCAACTGAAAGTAATGATTAAAAATAAACAATTTTCGAAAAAGCTTAACAATTTTCTTATCCTTCGAATTTAAAGGCCTTTAAACTCAAAAAGTACTATTCTGATTGACAAAAAAAAATATTTCAACGCAATGAGATTAAATATATCTCTCGAAAGGTATCCTAAGAAAATTAGTTGCATTCGCTTTTCTGGATTTTTTTTTATATCTCGAAAACGCTACTTTAGGAAAGTAATTTAAACTTATTTTCATGTTTAGCGCCCCCTAAATATTTAAGGCTAAAATAACTCTTCGCTTTCTTCGTGTAAACTAGCGTAAATAATGAACTCGTAATGTAGATATTTTTTATGTTTTAGTTTTACATGTTTTAAGCTCAGAATGTTTGTTTAGAATGAAAACTGTAAAACTTAGAAGAATTTATCTAAACAAATAAAATTTGGAAATTCGTTCTAAAATAAATAAATAAATGTTCAATCGATGAATAATGAAATTAGTCCTTTTCTTAGCTCTAAAATTTTTTATTTAGCCCTTTCTAGCCCTTTTTCTGGAGATTCTAGCCCTAAATGGATATTTATTTCTGGCAACACTGGCTGTGTTACTATTCCAGTGCAGCTTATTGCATTGCCCTCTATGAGTGTTAGAAGAAGGCATATGTAATGTTGGTTATTATTTTCATCTACGCTATATCCCCCAAACTATTGAAAAAGTGTGATCCCAAATGCTTGAATCGCCTTGTCTGGCGAGCTGGGCATTGACTTTGGAAGTGATGAATCGATCATTCTTCTTACTCATACCGACAACTTTTGTAGGTGGAACTTATTGGTATACACCAGCGATGGAGCTTTGGTGGTTAAGCATAGTTTCGGTAAGAGCCTTTACGGCAAATTTGTTTAGCGTAAATAATTCTTTAGTACGACTCTCATTGAGCTTCGACCATAAGGACCTTATGATCTCACAGTCGTTTCGATTAATCCAAAGACCTTCCATTATCTTTAGTAGAACAGAAATAGGGGGTTGTGTGGAGTTATCCGCTTCGTTAGTTTGCATTTCTTATACCTCTCTCGATTTACATCCGTATTGTTATACTTAAAAGAAATTATGGAGTTTTACCTTGGAACAGGTGGCAACCCTCTTCAAAATACTTTCGAAATAAGGCTTTCTTAAACCTCATTCGGTTGCCACCCATATTGTAATACTTCATGGAATTTATTAATAAAATCTAATTTTCCTAGTAGAATTTAATTTTTGAGCAGGTGGCATTCCTTTTAAAAAATAAGCTATGTCATAAACCAGATCATAAGCCATCTTTATGTCAAATTTTACACAAAGCAAGACCAACAAACATCCTCACACATTCACTTTCACATTTACTACATATGTATAATACCAATAACATTCCATTTAGCTTGCGAACTAAATTCCTCAACTGGTGGCAACCCTCGCCAAAAACATTTTCGAAATAGATACAGCTTTCGTAAACCCTCTCTCGTTTGATACCCACAATAAAATGTTTTATTTAACTTGCCAATGAAATTTATTTTGAATTTCCAAACAAAAAAATTCAAAAATATTTTTGATATAAAGTTTTCTTAAACCTCTTCCATTCGATAGCCATATTCAGTTATTTTGTTAACCAAATTGATTTAAACATTTTAAACAGGTGGCAACCCTTTCAAGGATAAAAAAAAATTGTGTACTCCTTGCGACAGTAAATTTTACACACAAAAAATTTTTTTAACTCGTGAAACCATGGGCCAAATATAGTTAAACTACGTTTTTAGTTTTTCTCTCTGATGGCAGGATTTTTTTTAAAGGTCCTTGAAATATGAAAAATATAATTACTTCAAGAAATTACTAAAAAAATTCAATGCAATGTACAAACAGTATGACTATCAAATTAAAGAGAAAATTCTGTAGAATTAAGGCAGATTAAATCTTTTGCTACATAAGGACGATTAGGTATTGAAAATGTTCTTTTAACATTTTATCATTGAATATCCTTGACATTTTCCAAAAATCATTTTCGAAAATTTTATATTTTAAGGCTCGACAACATCCTCGCATAATAAATAATAAAATAAAACTAATTAAAATGACGTTTTCAATACCCATTCCTTGTTGTGAACCAAAAAATGTTAATGATTTTTAATTCTACAGAATTTTTTCTTTCATTTGGTACGAATATGGTTTTTATATAGGGGAGTGAATTTTTTAAATAATTTTTGGAATTAACCATATCTTTGAAACTACAAAGTTCCTTAAAAAAAAAATCCTGACATCAGAGGGAAAAACTAGAAACGCAGTTTTACTACATTTGGCCCACAGTTTCGTGAGTATATTTTTTGCTTCATGTGTTTCGAAATTTTTTTGATTTTGTCGCACAGTGTAATATTAAGATTCAAACCCAACCAAGGTATGAATATTTAAAAATAGATTATTTGCGTGGTGCAAGGGAAGAAAAGTTGGTATGCAAAATATTTTCTGCTACGTTGCCAAGCAGGCTCTTGCTAAATCCTAAGCACTAAATTTCTCTAGAAAGGAGCCAAGATCCTGTGACTCTTTTAGGCTTTTGAGTAAAATATCTATCGAACTGTTATGATTTCTTGTCACATTTAGTTCAATTCTTATTATTAATTTGCAGTTGGGGCCAAATGAAGTGCTGGTCAGGTCAGTGCATCAGCGCTAGCGGCAAATGCAATGGCATACGCGATTGTGATGATGGCAGCGATGAAACCAGCCGCTTGTGTAAAACGATGTACTGTACAAATAATCAATTCCAATGCGGTTACGGCGCGTGTATACAGGTGGAGGCTAAGTGCAATGGAACAGTGGAGTGCTGGGATGGGACTGATGAGTACCCAGAACTTTGTGCAATGGATCGAGATACAACAAAAGCGAACGGCACTACGCCGATATTAACAAATGAAATATTTATAACCACAACAATTAAAACTACAAAACCTTCAGCAGAGAACGTAAATACGACTACGACTACTAATGCGCCTATACTTGAAAATCCGATCGAAGCCAAGGAGGCCAATCACGATACTTTAGACACTCCAATCAATGGAGGCAATGCAGATTCTGAAACAAACAAGGAGAATACTTCTAGCACAAACATAAATTCAAATAAAACTCAAAATGGTTATAACCATCCCAAGGACGGAGCGGGTATAAACCAAGCGAACACTGCACGAACTCTAAGTTCGACAAGTGTTGAAAGACAAGCGCACGGTTTTGACGAGACACCAAGTAGCAAAGAAACAGCTCAGCACGCAAGCATTCCTAAGCGTATCCCTGCGGCATCAGCTGAAACAGAGGATGATAGAGAAAAGAAGAAATCCAAGTCTAGTCCTTTGGACGCAAACTCCTCAGCACCATCAAGAAATCAAACGCAGATCGGTGGTGAAGTGCAAACCACGTCATCGTCGAATGAAAATAGCAAAACATTTGGAACAAAAAATAGCAACAAACCTGACAGTAGTTCTCAAATGCATGATAAGACCGACGCAACCACAATGAGATCCCACAAAGAACATTCATCAATTTCAAAGCCAACTACAACGACTCATGCACCAAAGCACAACGCGATACCACTAACAACAACGCCATATACTGGAATGAAGACTCTGTCTAGTCCACCAGAGAGGCAGAAAATTAACTGTACTCTTCGAGGTTGCAGTCATCCACTTATTTGCAAAATTTGGCTACCAAACTCAAATCATTCTTCACTTCTAAGCAACACCAGTGGGCGGCTGCCTATTGAAGTGAATACACGTATCTCGTTTGGCTGTGACAAAGGCCTTGAGTTAGTAGGTGTGGACTATATAACTTGCACAGTTGGCGGATGGAGCCATGCCAAACCAATTTGTAGTAAGTTTTCTTTTGATGAACATTTACTTATAGTCTACATTTTCTAAGTTTTCTTCTCCCAACAGCGCCCGTATGTGAAGTGGACTTTCTATCCAAGTGCAAGTCACGCCTCAAATGTCGCTACAAGAAACCGAATATGAACTCGGCAGTTTTAATTACTGAAAGTTTTAATGAGCAGAAGATCAAATTACATTCTCAACTTGATTTTTATTGCGGTGAAGGCTACTTGGAAGGTGCTGTGAGCAGAATTTGTACGGATGTTGGCTGGTCGAAGCCATTGCCTAATTGCAGTAAGTTAATTAATACCGGTAGAGATCGTTAACAGCCATATATGTAAAGCGGTAGCAAAATCGGGTGTTATCGATACCGATTCATACACTATTCCAATTTTTTTTTAAATATCATTCAAAAGAACTATAGCATGGGTAAATTTCAAAAGCAACTACATTTGTAACTTGGTTGTCGACAAAGGTTTTAGGTAATTGGTCCAATGGTTTGGATATCAATAATTATAACAATAGCTTCATGGAACGATGCCGATAACTTTAATATCACAAAAAAAAACACAAAATAAAGCTTTTGAAATAACTCGCTTATCTTTCAGTAAACTACTGCTACGTCTCAAACTTGGGCGGCTGCCAGCGACCACTCAACTGTGCGATATACAACTCATACATGGGCGTCAATGTGCCACCCGAAGAAAATTACTGGAATAATCTTTTTAGAGAAAACTCTCATATCGCATTCAGTTGTGATTATGGCTACAAGCTGGTGGGTGAGAATCGTTCGACATGCAATTTCAATGGCTGGGACAATGTTGCGCCTAAATGCCGTGAGTTGTGATTCAAATTACAAGTAGGGATGGAAAAGTTGCGCGCGGAATCGATACTTTATTTCAGGTTTTCGATTCTCAAAGTCGATTAATCACCTCGGCTTTATGAATTAAATTGACTTTTTGAAAATTTCCAAAAAAAAAATAATTTGTACCCACCTTTATTAGGTCATGAACATAAAACCATTTTCTTTAGTAATTCAAAAAATAATACTTTATCAATAACACAGGTTTACAAAAAGCGTTTCTGCATATTGAACCAAACCTCTATATCCCCCACGTTATATTAAACTCGACTTTTCCATCCCTAAGCACTTCATCTGCAAGTTGAGTACTGCTAACACTTTTCTATTCTCATTTCGAACAGTTCGAGTTTGTGATAAAAGCTTATTAAGCGCATGCATAGATCCGCTTAATTGCAAAATTTTCGATGAAAAAACCACACTCTGGCTACCCTTATTGGGCAGTGCTGCAGCAGTTGATCAAATTACCGCCGACACATATTTTGCTTTTAATTGCACGGAGGGCTACCAGCTGGAAGGCGTGAAACAAATAAGTTGCACCTCCAATGGATGGAGTCATGAAATGCCCAAGTGCGGTAGGTGGAATTTTCGAAAGAGCACCCATATTGTTCCACTTTAAATTTGAGTATTTCTCTTCTCTTCTTTTATTTTTTTTAAGTGAAAATACCAAAATTCTGCAATGCCAGTATTTTGCGCGAATGCGGTAATGGAGTGATATGCAAGACATTTGATACAATCCAGCGCGATTTTGTAGAAATTAAAGCTGGCAGCAAGGAGATGCGCATGCCCGTCAACTCTCAAGTTCAACTAAGTTGCCCACATGGCTACAAGCTGGAAGGCATGCAAGGTCTGACTTGTCTCGAACATGGTTGGAGCAATGCAATGCCAAAATGCGGTATTACTTATTAAATTGTTTCGCATTTCATTTTGTAGATTTGTCACTTGAAAATTTTTCCCCTCAACAGTGGTACCCTGTCGGGGAAAGTTTTTACCCAAATGTGATTATCCGCTACAATGTTTCGTTACTTATCCGAATGAACACTCAAAGTTTTATCCTTTGCCTACTGATTATGCAACTTACTCTTATCAGCGAGATACTCAAGTCGGTTTTTTCTGCTCGGAGGGTTATACGTTGAAGGGAGCACAACAGACGGATTGTACCGCTTCAGGTTGGAGGCATGAAACAACTTTAGATTTGCCTAAATGCAGTGAGTTTTTTACACACACATAAATACCTATGTATATATATATATGTGTGTGTATTATTTGATTGTGTATCTTATTGTTAAATCTTTTTTTCTATCCCTCTCTAATGACCTGCACTCTCAGTTTTGGGGTGTGATCCAGACATTTTACTCGAGTGCGAAATTCCATTGATATGCCATTATTTGCGACCGAATCAAAATGGGTGGCTTAAAATCACGAAAAGCTATAAGGAAAGCATGGTGAAAGTAGATTCGTATATAGATTTTGAATGTACGAAGGGTTTTAGGCGGCAAGGCGCGTCACGTATAAGGTGTACTTCAGGTGGTTGGAGTGACGATTTACCCAAGTGTGGTAAGTTGCAAGGTTTGAAGTCAGATTTATTTTGATAAAATTTTTTAAAAATTTTATTTATTTTTCAGAATACGCAACATATAACAATCAAGGATATTACTATTGGTTTTAATCTCAAAATAAATGTTTCATTACCAGCGCACTATGGTCAAAAATTCCAATGCAGAGGAATAAAGTTGAATTTTCATCTTTTAGTTTTAAAAAGAAATTGTATGGGGTTTGATTATTATGTGTTAGAGTTGCAAAAAAATTTATAAAAAAAAACTTGTGAGAGAGCAACTCTTTTTCTGACAGTATGTTATCAAAGTCAGTGACTGAAATACTCATCGAACTCATTAGTAAGGCTTAGAGGAAACATGAGAGTCCTTACCGGCCTTCGATATTAACGCAATGTTGACCACCCTTCAAGCCTTGGGGTTGTACCCGGTTCTTACAGTTCGCATAAATAGGAGCCAGCCCTATTAAAACAGTCGGCTGAGTACCGAAGCGCTCAGCGTCAGGGCTGAAAATGATGTTGGCAGATGAACCTTTATCACCTTCAATAAAACCACTTATATAGCCGCGGTCATTCGCTTCCATTCCTCCATGGAAACGCCACCGTCTCCGCTGCTCCGATATATTTACTTAGAAAATTGGCAATGGATTGTCTTGCGGCCTTGTGGCCGACTCTGTTCGATCCTTTTCGCGAGGTACATCTCCCCTTCTGCGTTTGGTGTAGTGAATAAATCAAAGAGGGAGTCCTATCCCGGCCGTAATCGCTCTACTTTATTGTATGGAACTTGCACGGTAAATTTCCACAGACGCTGATAAAAATGAAGGAAGTTCAGAGTTGAACTCAAATACAACTTTCACCCCACTCAAAACCCCTAAGCTGGATTCAAAACTCCAAAGGCTGTGGAAGGCCACAGGGCAATGACACAAAAGGTGTTACACATTTACTTCTAATCCTATAATCCAGCAACTCCGACTATTATGCGGTGTTTCCAGCCCTACTCTGAAGGGAAATAAATCGATTTGGAAGTTGTCTGTAAAAGTTTTAAAAATAGACAGTTTTTATTTTCTGCTTAAACTTCAGAGCACTGATGTTCCTGGTTTTACAGAAGGAAAGGTAGCTGGAAAGGGATAATTTTCGCGTGGAGTATATACGACAACGACGTAAATAGGTGAAAACCAGGTTTCAAGTAGACTAGAAAGAAGCACACCCTAGGGGGGCATAATCTCGCAACTTTTTGAAACTCTGGAAGAAAAGCTTAGCTGAATGGAGAGCAAAGTTTAGCGTTAGGTCTGTTATTCATGCAGCAGAATTTAATTTGAATGCTGATGTACTGTGGTACGATTTTCCATTACTACTTGTCAAATTTGGTTTGGCAGAACGAAAAATTACAGTGAAGATAGCAAAACGCCGATACCGGTTTGTCACCAAACCAAGTTTCACTAGGGATGACGAAAAATCGTTTCACAATACATCATACTCCTACCCTGTCGGAACACCAACTACAAAAATGAAAATTTGTATGCTATTTCATCAACAACAATTCGTTTAAAAGAGGAAAGACACTGGCACACTTGTTTTCTGAAAACAATTGGGTTTTCTTCAATATCGACCAGACCAATGCGCTCACAGGGCAGGGTTTTTGAAATATCTACAAATGGTTCGAAGTTTATAGACAAAGTTGGGGGATCGTTTCATTGACTAAACTAACGTAGTGACGTTCAGGCTTAGGTTCCAGCCGTTTTGAACGCTATAAAAGAGCTCGGAACCGAAAAAGTCTGTAAAAAAAGAGAGTTTTTATTTGTGTTGGAAAGTCTTCGATCTCGGCAGATGATGAATAATCCAAACACCCCTGACCTCATTGACCGATATGAGTTGTACTACTTCCAAGCTAAGCTCGGAAGTTTTTTTCTGTGCTTTAACAGATGAAAGGTACATACATACCTAGAAAGAAAATATGACCCGATTGATCTCTACATTAGTAAGATCGAAAAAACATGCAGAGACAGTTCTTCATCTTCACGGTTAGTGCCCTGTACTATTTAAAATCAGATAGTGACTTTCGGGGTTGCCCATTTTGTGACGATTATATATGGCACCCTGCCCTTTCTTCAACTTAAATTAAGAAATATGAGCACGTAAGTTAGTAAAAAATACTCAAAATGTTGAAGAGTATATGCTTGAGTAAATTCCGTTACGTGGCAGGTGGCACAGAAATATGTATGTAAATAAAAGCTATGTCGCATGTGCGTATGTTTGTATGATTCCCGCACATATTGTTCCAGCCGCTCGCAGGTGCAACAGTTCACAAGTAAGTACTTTAGAGTTGCAAATTGACATCCAGCTGAATGGTGCTTAACGAAGTGTAAGGGATAAATGTACATACATGCCGGCGCTAAGAAAGTGAGTATGTACGTAAGCCACAACATTCCTTCAGCTTGACTTGATTCATTACTTAATTGTGTGCGTACATCATTCTCATATTGTTGTTGTATTTAATATCAATTACATACGAAGGCGCTAATATTGAAAAAAAAGAAGATACGCTCCCACGCTATACAAATAACTGTGCAAGTAAAATATACACCCCGTGTCAAAATTATAAACACAGCAACGAACTGACAAGTCTTCAGCATTTATTATTTTTTTTTAAATTTAATTTTAGTTATTTAAAAAAAAATTATTGTTAATTTTTTTAGCAAAAACGTATAATCCAATTTTTAAACTTTGTGCATAGCTAGAAAAAAAAAATTCAAAAACTTTTTGTAAAACTGTCTAGTTTTTTAATTAGATTTCTTGACAAGATTTTGGGAGCGAAAGTTTGAAGCAGCTTGGATGTACATTTCATTTTCGTAATTTTTTTTTGTGCTGATGGTATTGTATATTTTCTTGCATAAAAAGGATGTTTGACGATTTTTTTATATGGAACAGAAAAATTTCCAAAATTCAACGATAAGGCCTAGTTACTTCATTGAATTCAATTGAATGGGCCTACAAAACTGCTTATCCAAAAACTTTCTAAGCAGTCTAATTAGAAAGATGAATAGCCTACAAAACTGCTAATCGAAATTATTTTAAGGAGTCTATCTAAAAGCTTTGGCATACTTTTGAAATTTTTTCGAAGTTTCATTTTATAATTTTGATGAAAATAACCAATACAAGACAACAAAATGCGACAATACTTTCGCGAACATTTCTAAGAGAACAAAATGGGAACAAAAGCGGAACAAAAGTCTCCGGAACGCTTTGGGAGAAAATTGAACGGTAACAAAAGTCTAAGAAACTTTCGCTCGAATAGCAATTTAGGAACTAAAGCCTCAGGAACTTTCGGAAACAGAACGAAACGGGAAACAATCTTCTCTGAACTACTGAACTGAAGATGGGAAGCGGGAATAAAATTTTTCGTATAACATTCATTAGTTTGAAATTAATATTAAAATTAATCGAAAAAGAACTGAATGATAATTATGCAAATTAAGTCAACGAAAGACTTAAGACACGAACTTTTCCTGCACAAATGATCCAGAGTTCCTCTGGCTTATAATTTAAAATCGTGGTTCTCAATTCTTCAAGTTTTTATCCCAGCAAGCAGACTCCCCACGTTTGTTCGCTTTCGTTCCCAAACCTTTTGTTCTAATTTTTTTGCCGTTCAAACTACAAAACATAAAGAAAAATGAGCAAAATTTATGAGATTACCACAGAAATTTTCTAAATTTTTGGCTCAGGTGTTTCTCGAGGCAGATGTCTTTTATCTTCCAGTACCTACCTACACACATAGGTAGATATGCATTCTGCTTGAATGCCAGCTTTATTTAGTATTATATTTATCACAATTTCTTAAATTTTACACTCACCTGTGGACACATCTTGCATTGATACTTTCTGCCCGTTCCGCCAGCACCGCCACCTGCCATCGCTGCACTCATTTTACTCGCGTTAATCGGTTGTGGTACAACCAATAAAGCTGCCGCCGCTGATGCGCTGTGATGATGCGCCATATGATTGCTAGCTGACGTCGCATGATGTGGTACTCCGCCAATACTCGCGCCACCAAGCCCAACCAAACCGCCGCTACCAATACCGCCACTCCCACCCAGACTGCCATTGCCTGCGCCGATTAAGCCCAGACCGCCAGCACCACTTACTAGACCGCCACTGCCGCCACCACCAGCATTGCCTCCTCCTCCGGCCGGCGAACTACTATTCGATGTGGCAACGGCGCGCAGTGTACTACTGGGTCCATAAATGCTAGCCGCTGTTGCCATGCTAGCGCTATGATTAGCCTGCGGCGTGACGGCATTGTGATGATCTATGAGGCGACTGTCGTCGAGGAAATGACCTGGTGTAGAAAAACAAGAGAGAGAGAGATGAGAGATATAATAGGAGTCTACATATATGCTTATATATAATAAAGTCCCAAATTAAATAACAACTAAAGAACGAACAATGAACGAGTAATTCGCTAGATTGAGCTCAACCCAGGATATTCAGAAAGTACGTAACTATGGCCCAATTCACTTGAAATTAAAAATGTATACTCCATACGCGAGGAGAAATACTTCTACGAAAATTGGATCCCCCTACTGCCAAAATTGTCCTGAAGTGGCTCTCAAAAAGTCGTGAATTTGCCCCAAAACGATCTCGAGCTCGTCACAAAATGATCCGAAAATAGTCCTCAACAGGCGTCGAAACGTTCAAAAAAGTCGCGAACTTGTTCCGAAATGATCTCGAACCAGTCTTGAAACTTTCCCGAAATGGTCCCTTGTTAGTCGCAAAACGATCCCCAACTATTCCGAAACTTGTGCTGGCATAGCCCATAGCTAGTCCTGAAAGGGTCCTGAGCTTGTCCGAAAATTATTGCCAAAATACTTCTAAAATCGTCATAAAAAAGTCCCGAAATAGACAAGAACTAGTCCCAAAATGGACCTTCGTTAGTTGTGAACTAGTCCCGAAGTGGTCGTGAACAGATTCCAAAACGGTCCATAACTGACTTTAAATGGGCCTAAAATAGCCCTGACCTAGTCCGGGGATGTTTTATTGTACACAAACATACCGACAGAGAGTAGAAATCGGCCAACGTACAACGCCACGTCCAACAATTGTGAGAAACTGGAACTTGTTCTCTTTAGGAGAAGATACAAACACCGCTACTGACTACGTCTGAACTAAAAGGGCCACTCTTAAGCTTTAGGAATAAAAACAAAATCTTAGGAGTCATTCTCGACAGAGAATTGATCTGGAAGGAGAGCATAGTCCAGCGTTATGAGAAGGCGTCTGTGGTCTTATATTCGTACAAGAGGGCCATTGGTAAGAAATGGGGGCGGAGCCCGAGTATTTGCCGCTGGATCTACACAGCGGTGGAATTTTCACAGATGAGTAAAAAATGAACGTTTGCGCGGGAGGGGATTCTTTTCCCGCAGCGCTGCCCTGAGCCGTTCATTTCGACTGCCGAACTACTCTAATGTCTTTCAGGCTAAGGTCTTAGCTATGATGAAGGGTATAAACGAACTTCGTACGGATTTAAAAAGCTCATCTTTAGTGACAGTCTGGCAGCAATTAAAGCTGTGAGTTCCGTCACAATTTAATCATTTTCCGATTTCCGGTCATAAGGGCATAGAAGGTAACTGTATGGCAGACGAACTTGCGAGGGGGCACGATCGGGCAAAGAACGCATTGCCTTCGTCTTTTCCAAGCTGCTTTTAAGAGAATTTATCTATGCCAGCGCGAGCGAGATATGGATGCAAACTACGACCTTAGGAATTTCTAGGCAAACTTGGGCTAGAAATTGCAAGAACTGTGAGGATGAGGAGACAGTTCTCAACCTTCTCTGTACCTGTCCGGCATAATCGAGAAGCAGATTGGGGTATCCTTTCATTAATGGTCTCGGTATTGGTCTTTTTAAGTTATTTTCCAATAAAGCTATCATTACCACTGCGGTATGCTTACAAAGAACCATGTTCTAAAAGCTGATCAGCGCCACTCCACCAATGTACATATTTGCTAACGAGGCCCGCTTTAGTTACTTCCTTGAAACAATTCCGAAACTGCTTATTGCCGTTATTATCTTAACATTTTATTAATAAAAAAATAACTTGCATTTGGAACACCCTAGCTCTCGCATATTTAGTGGCGTACAGTGTAAAGGTAAGGAGTTTAATTTTTCCAACTAACGAAAGGAAGAACTCTCAGAAGTAACACATGGTGGCGGCGCATGTTAATTTAGTCAAAATAGATGAACAGCTGGTACAACAAAAACTACTTACTTACTTACTAGCCAGCAATAATACAAAATTGCAACATTGTAAAAAGCAGAAAAATCAAAAAAAAAAGAGAAAACCAAAGATCAAGACCAAAAAAAAAGTGCAGGAAAAACAACCCACAGGGTAAAAATCGAAGTTGGTGGAAACCACCAACACAACAACACCAGCAACTGCATCAAATTATAATAAAAATTGGCTGGCAGCTGCTTGTTCCCATTGCGATGTTGATCACCAAAATCGCGATCAGCGTCGACGATGCTTATCGCGCGCGCCGCCACCAAGCGCCACTGATTCCACCTACGCTGTGGCTGTTATTGCTGTTGCTGTGCTGCTGCTGTTGCTTTTGTTAATGGGTTCATACTAAGTAGTAGCTACTGTTTTGGCGTTGACATTATCGCTGACCGATCGCTGCTGGTTCAATCGATATTGGCACTTTATTCTGCTTGCTGTTGTCGTTGTGGTTGTTGTTGTGTGGCTGGCTGCTGTCATTGCAAGCATGTCATTAGCTGTTTTGTTGTTCTCCTGCTGCTGTTGGGGGCGCCCATCGCATGTTGCAAGTTGTTTGCATTTCAGGAATTTATGTAAACATCTTGTAAAGCGGCTTGTTGCAGCTCATGTTCGCTATACAACCATAAAATAAAAGCAACCACATGTAAGTATATATATACCTACTCAACTTTGTGTTGAGCCCATCTTTTTGTTTACGTTTTCCGTTTTATTGCAAACTCGTAGCGGTTCAGTGCAATCTTAGTAAAGGTCAGCCAAGTCGCAGCAAGAAGTTGCAACATTTTGATGTTACAACATTGCGCTCTGGTGTTGCTGTCACTCGATTACAATATTGTCATTGTTGTAGTTGTAGTTGTAGTTGTGTTGGTTTTGTTAATTGCTTACATTATTTTAAAGGCTAATATCGTTGCTTGATTTTCGTACGTTTTTTCTTTTTTTTGTTGTTCTTAAAATTCTATTGTTGTTTTTATTGTCGTTGCGGCGTGGGAGTGTGCGTAGCGTCGTCACATTGATGCTTATCGCATTGATATTGTAATCAGATTACATAGTTGGCCCGCAACTCGCCACCAGCCACGCCGTCGCGTTTTGTTTGGTGCTTACTTGCAATCTATTTCATTGCAGTGGCATGCAACATTTATTTACCAATGCATAATGAGTCATGTGGCTAATTCGTGCTTGTATTTTTTTTGTACCTACATACATAGTAGTTATGTATGTTAAATACTATAAATAAAATTAATACGGATTCATTTAATTTAAATCTGAATTCCTTTCCGCTGAATTTTATTAAAAAACATGACACATAAAAGACAACACTAAAAGTGTATCTTCATAGAAAAAATTTCAGAAAGGAAGTTTTCAATATAATTTCTAAGAAATCTTTGTCTTTATCTTCAAAATCACCTTCATTTTCTTTTTCATATTGCGCATCGTTTTCATCTTTATCTGCGTTCCCATCTTCACTTTCACTTTCATCTTCCTCTGTATCTCTATCTTCATTTCTGTCTTTTTCATTATCTTGCTTCTCATCTTCATCTTCCGTCTTTAACTTTAACTTTAACTTTGATCTACATAATCTTGAATTTGATCTTCATCGTCATCGTCATCATCCTCCTCATCTTCATCGTTATTTTCATCTTCGTCATTATCTTCATCTTCACCTGCACCTTCATCTGCATTTACATCTTCTTCTGCATCTTGCACTTCATTTTTATATACACCTCCATCCCCATCTTCATGTTCATCATCCACTTCATCATCATTTTCGACTTCATTTTGATCTTCACCTAAATCTTTTCCTTAATCTCAATGTTAATCTTTATCTATATTTTTATACTATAGTTTGTCGGCCATTGTCTTTGACTGCGTCGCATAGTGTTTCGACTATATGGAGGCAAACTTGAAACAAACTGTCCCTACACTCAGAAAAAAAGAATTTCCTTAAAACAAGAACCAGTTTCCTAATTTTGTAGTTTCGGTCTTTTTCCTTAATACTACGAAAAATTTACGCAATTTGAGATGTTTTTCCTTAATTCAGGTTCATGCTCAAAACAGTGCGTCGTTAAATTGAGTAAGTAAATTTACTAAATATAAGCAGGTAATAATTTCCTTAAATAATTTGGAATTTTGTCAGTGCTGCCAAGACAAAGCCAATTGATTTGCTGGAAAATGTTGGCTGTGGCGTCGCGGGAAGACTACTGTTTCTGGTTCCGAGATCGCGGTTTCGAGTTCGATTGGAGGTGAAGTTGGTTGGAAGTAAAGTAAGTCAATTATTTCAATTCAAACATAAATTACGCATTGTAGAATTAATTTTATATGCAAAAATTTAAATACTCAAATACCATAAAAAATAAGTGGAATATTTTTTTCTTTTTAAAATACAATAAAAAATTACAATGAAAAAATTAAAATTAAAAAATCAAAAAAAATATATGTATTAAAAAAAAAATCCCCTGAGGGCCCACGTGGACCACTTTGGAAATCAGTGGGTTATATCAATGTAGACTCCAACCACTAAAATATAGTGCTACTTAAAATTACATTAATAGGAATGAAAATAAGAAACCATAAAATATGCCGACGTGGGAGAGGTCGGTGGCGCATTATGGGCGACTTGGGGAAAAAATTTCAAAATATAATTGCCCAAAGTGCGGCGCCAGAGCTTAAAATAATACGTGGATCTCAACGTTATGCAACTTAAAAAATTAGAATCTTTAAAGTTTCTTTTTCACTCTTACCTTTTTGCAAATTGCTGTGGTGATCATTCATTTTCGCCTGAAAGTAAATAAAATTCAAATTTAGACAAGAAATAATCGCTAAACAATTTTGAGTCACTGCTTAAGGCCTCCAAAACTGATATTAGGGCACATAATATACATGTGTATATATACATATTATGTATGGAAACATTAAAAAAGACATAAGGAACTAATGATGTATGTATATGAACTCAAGTTGGAATGGCACTTATGATTTAGAAGTGGTCATGTTGGATAAATATACTTAAAACCAGTGTACGAAAATAAACTATATTGTACGTTACTATTTCGTTTCGTTTATTACTTCAACAGTTCGGTACAATACGAAAACGAAACGGCTGAGTTCACTTTGCGATAGTTCACTACAGTAGTTTAGTAGTTACAGACGAAACAACAAACGAAATGAATCGTGCAGAGAAAAATATATGTATGTATGTAGTTCATGTTTTTTAATTGAATTGGATATGAAAATTTGTAGAAAAAAATATTTTTCACGTAATTGAAACGTTTGCAAACATATAAAACGTACCCTATGGTACAATTGTCACAAACGAAAAGCAAACGTTTCTCGTTGGGGAAAATGACAGTGAATCTTACAATTTGTTTCTGACTATGTACAAAACTGTACAAAACCACAAATGATATGATGATCGATGAGCAAGTGGGAATTGTTTTGTACAGTTTATTTTCGTACCCTGCTTAAAACATACCCTCTCAATGATTCACACAAACTTTATAATCGGATTTGCTTCATAAAAACATGTTATGAATTTTTGCTACTGTTAAGAATGAAAATTTATACATCTATGTAGATATATATGATCTATACCCTTGTGATCAGCTGACTAAGTCAAGTGACAATTTGACTAGTTTTGGCTATTTTTCTAATCTTTTCTTTATTTAATGTTGATATTTTTTTATAAAAGTCTAGCAAATTTATCTAACCAGCACCACATAAATCCATACTTCATGAAAATTAAAATGAAAATTAAACAAACTTTAACACTTTCAATTGAAAATTTTAAACTTTATATTCAGAATTTTTAGTAAAATTTTTCGTATGCAGTTTTGTAGCACATTAAATTTTAGTTGGTTTAAGTGCAAATTTCAAGACGCTAGAAAATCGCGTTGATTTTTAATATGTTTTTTTTTTGGCTGACGGTGTTGTGCATTTTCTTCCATATAAAATATGCTGGATAATTTCATTTGTATGGGAGAAGATGCCTAGTACCATCAGCAAAAAAAAAATATTAAAAATCAACGCAATATTCTAGCGTCTTGAAATTTGCACTTTAATCTACTCGAATTCAATGAGCTACAAAACTACATACTGAAAATTTTCCTAAAAATTCTAAATAAGAAAATAAAAAGTTTAAATTTAAATAAAAAGTTTAAAATCTTTGGCTGCAAATGTTTGTTTAATTTTCATAAAGAGAATGAAATTATTTTTAAAAAGTAAATGTACCACATTCTTTTTTCGGGTGATAATAAAGATGCCAATATTCGGTTATGTTTTAAGTTTTTCGTTAAAAATTACAAAAAAAGGCTAGCTGGATCACCCTATATAAATGTATTTATGTACATATGTACACATGTATGTTTATATGCACCTATATATGTAAATGTATATATGTATACATATTTACATATATGCATATATGCGTTTTAACTCACTGATATCAACGCATAAATATTATTTAGGAATTTATGTTGATAAAACCTTCCCAGCAAACCTTTTTGTTCGATCTCAACGTGAGATGAATTTGATATTAGTGAGATGAATTTGATAGCGTCTTAACAAGCGGATTATAACGTTCTCAACTTTAGATAACATTTTTTTAATTTTGCACATTTTCCCCAAACATTAAAACCAATATTTCACCGCTGCTGCCAGATCGACACCTTTGCCAATAAAATGTAAATGCTGCCAGAAAGTTGTAAATAATTTCTCACCAATTTCTCCAATCAAGGACAAATTGAGGAATAAGATTTGAGAAAATGATTAATCTCAAATGCTAAGGAAAGTTGAAACTCAACTTTAGAAACGCTGGAGAATATTTGGCCTTGTGTTTGCCGGGTAATCGGCTTGCGTTAAAGCTTTAGTTTAATAACCGTGACGTAATTTGCAGATAAGTTTAGCAAAAATTTCTGAATTTGATATTCGATTTTTTATCAGGAACGTTGACCTTTCAGTTTTATGCCGCGTGCGCTTGGCAAATCTGAAGTAAAGCCTTTTCTTTCCATTTATTTTTGTGTGTCGGCTCGGTGTTTGCATTACAATTACGAGAAAGGCCTGATTTGATATGTACGTACATTAGGGTGGTCAAAAAATGCATGTGAAAAAGTAAAGTCCGAATTTTAATACTCTCACCATCTATTAGTGTTCTATATCCAAAAACCTTTACCCCTGATATTTATTTTGTAATAAAAAAAATATTTAGAGGTCGTTCGAAACGCTGAAACTTTTCCATGTGTTTTATGTAAGGGGAAAACAAGTTTTCGTAGAAATGGTATAGAATTATTGAAAATCTGTATTTTTCCGTCCTTTCTCTGCGGGAGACTTCCAATAACAATACCCAATTGTTTATTTAACCATTTTCTGTTATTTTATTATGATCCCTAAATAACTCAAATGGGTTCCCACGGCATTTTTCGACTATTACATATTTTTTTATTTCAAAATAAAAAAAAAACGGGAGTATAATTTGTTTCGATACTCTTTTTTGACCACCCCAATGCAAATACGTACGCATTCAGCCAAGAACTGGCAATCCAGCAAACATTTTCTAAAAAAAAAATTGGTTTATTTGAAACAAAAATGATAAGCAAACACATATATTTATGCATGCGTACTAGTATAATTAAGTAGAAATGACGACTTAACCACAGAGGGTCGTTTTCAAATGAATTTACCAAAGTCAAAATCTTAGTCAGTATTTCTTAGCCAGGCAACTTGAAAGGCTGTGGAGCGATTAGCCTTTCATTGTGATATATACATATATAAGTAAATATATACCAGTTTTTCTGCATACCTACCATCATACAATGGAATTCAAGTATATACTAACTGTGCATTCTGTGATATTAATTTTAAGCTGCCGTGTATTCTCAGCTGCAGGCAAGGATGATGGGGAAGGTAGGTAGATAAGAAGGTCTATTTGTGATTGAATTTGAGCAAAATATTGCTTTAATTTTTGCTGCAATATACATAAGTTCATAAATATATGATCTGGGGATATATCTTGTGCATAGTGTTGCAACAGACAAATTTTATATTATCTAATATTTATTTGAAGAATGTGTGCATCCACCGAAACCGACACCAGTGACCACCGCTCACCCACCGACCGCGTTACCGTGATTGGCTCTCCTGCTGAGCTTTTAATCTGAAAGCGAATATGTATATAAAATATATAGGAAGCTTAAAAGTGATTTCCCCATGAGCAAGGCGGTACCGATCACCGTTCTACAGTCTCTACGTCTCCGTGTATTTGTATTCGACGGTAGTACTGGAGAAGGGCCTTTTTTTAACCTTTAAGTAGGGACATATTTTTTCTGCAACACTAGCCTGGGCATGGTGTCTGACAGACCACAAATCTACGGGCACATATTGACAGCAATTCCTAGTTAAATTTATAAATAAAGGCTCTGAAGGCAAATGAAAGGATTTAATCGCGAAATAGTTAATTTTTGTTGTGTGAAAGCATAATTTTTTTTTTTATCAAAATAAACACACAAAGCACTAGCCCCGAAATGGGCCTCAAATGGCTCAGAAATGGACCTAAAATTGTCCTGAATAGGACACGAAACCGTCTGTAAATGGTTAGTTGTTAGTCCCAAAACGATCCCAAATTATTCCTGGACTAGGCTCGAAATGGTCCATAACTAGTCCTAAATTTGTTCTCGTATAGTTCTGAACTAGCCCCGAACCGGTCTCGATGAATTAGTCTCGAAATGGTCTTGAAATAGTCGCGACCAAGTCCCAAAATGATAGCAAAATAGTCTCGAAATGGTCCTGCAACTAACCCGAGCACAAGAAGCGGTTACAAATTTTCTGCTGGGTTAATGCAAATTTTACCTATACCGAGAGCTAAGACGTTTACACATCAAAAGTCTGTAAGATTGGATCGACCCCGCTCTTGAGGTCAAACTTGTCCAAAGTTTGTTGATTTGTGTAATCTGTAACCTTTTTGTGTTTTCTTGTAGAGATGGCAATGTAATTAAATGCATCTTGACTTGGGAATGAGATTTTTCACGATTTTTCTCATTTTCTTTTTTATTTTTTTCGCAACTCTTCGTGTTTTCGAGACTTTTCATGAACTTTGCGCCATTTTTGGTACTTTTCTTTAGCTTCTCAAAACCTTTCGAATCGCCTTATAATTTAGGGGGTTTTGGGAGTCTTGAAAATATTTCCGAATTTTCGGGATGAACTATTATACTGAATAGAATATAAATACTGAATAAAATAGAACCAAAGAAATTTCGAGAAGCCTAAAAAAAAACCGAATTGTCTGTAGAAGGGTGGCTCTTAAAAAATCAAATAACGATTTTTTTCAGTCTCTCCGCTTCAATCGGTAACACCACTGTCATATATATCACATATGTATAAATTTTGATCCCCATTGAAGACGGTGAAGGCGTGTCGCATAGGGGGCAAAATTCAGATTCATGTAAGGACTCAAAAAATTTAAAAAACAAATGTGTTTTTCATTTAATGCCTAAAATCGATGATACTATGTACTAAAGTCGAGGATATCAAATATAAATTTTAGTACCGATTAAAGTCGGCTAAGACGCCATCATAGTTTAATCTGAACTTTGGCGCCTGTGCGACACGCCTTAACCGAATTTAATCGGGACCAAAATTTATATGTGATATCTTCGACTATAGTAGCATCGACGTAGGAGTTGAGTGTTAGGAAATCTGATGAAAAAATTTGCTCCCTACATTTAAGGACCACTCTAATGTTCATACATAACAACTCGTACATAATTTCTTTCCAGAAAACTAATTTTTGTATAATTTTCATTACGTTGCCGCTCATAAATTTTATTGAATCTATTCGAAATATTTTAGAGGGAGGTAGAAAATTGATAAAGTTTTATAAATCCCTTTGGGAAGGAGACCTAGTGTTTGTTTGTATGGAATATGAAGCTGTCTAATGGCCATACGTAGACAAAGCGATTGTGGTAAATGGGGGGGTTTTTATCAAGTTGAAAGTTTTTCATAAAAGTGCTCTAACAACCAGAAATCTTATGAAATGCTTGGCCTAAAAACCGCGCGAAGATTTCGACTGAGATTCTTTTTCTTTGAGGCTCGAAATTTTCTAGATAAGAATTTTAACTCATAAACAATATTTTAATCATAATAAGTTAAGTAATTAAGTGTTGATATTTCTTTTTTCACCAAATGCTATATCAAACAATTATAATAATTTTGTTTATTTTATACTTTTTTTTAGTTGCAGTTGGACTGCACACGCAAACTAAAGCGAAATGTGATGACGGTACTCTCATCGACGATAGACAATGGTGTAATGGTTCTAAGAATTGTCCAGATGGATCGGATGAGTTGGAGAAAAATTGTATTGACAAATTATGCACCGATTTTAAATGCTCTTATGGTGGTTGTATACCCGAAGAAAAGCAGTGTGATCAGAAAATCGACTGTTGGGATGGCAAAGATGAATTTTTCAGAATCTGTACCGATGTGAAACCATGCTCAAATGACAAATTTCAATGTGGCTATGGTGGATGCATTGATTTAGATGGGAAATGTAATGGCAAATTTGACTGTCCCGATCACACCGATGAGTATCCGCCATTGTGTGAATGATTTATGTGGCACAAGAGCGACTTTAGGAGTACATATTTACATTTTTTCTAAGTAATCAGTTAAGATCTAATAAATAAAATATAAGAAAATTGTATAACTGCCTGTCGCTGTCAAGCTGTTGGTATCACCATTTGTTTGACAACGTCAAGAGTCGCATCATAAATGGAAGGAAAAGCTCGATAAAACATTAAGACCCCTTTCAGACACGTCAAGTCGTAGGCGAAGGAGGTGAGAAGAGAGGGGAAGAGTACACTCGTCTCACCTCCTTCGCCTACGAACGAGCAGACTTGAAATCAAGACTTGACATGTCTAAAAGGGGTCTAAGCAAATTTTAAGAGCAGAAAATTTTTCTCTTTTTTTATCAGCATTGGCTTTGTTTTTTTCAGCGTTTACGCTCACCAGCCAACATAATTTCTCAGCTGCATATATAGTACACATATATACATATTTATGTGTAGGAGCTGGTTTATTAGAAGGCTGAGCTTTATACTATCTACGTTTATTAATTAACTAATTATTTTAATTGGTAAGTACCTCATATCCTTGTTTGATGGCCGACATATGGCTGCGTGTGGCTGCTGTCGAAGGCCAACCATTATAATCGGCTATTTCTTTGCCATGTTGTCCACACTTGACCAGTAAAAGCCAGCAGCGATATAGAATAGACAAAAAAAAAACGAAAAATATAGAAAGAGAGAGAAAAAGAAGATGTAATGTTTAAAATGGTTTTGAGGAAATATTTATATATATTTAGTACATAAATCTATGCACTGCAACTACTGAACGCATTTTTAACCCCATTCAAAAAAGGTGGATGTTATCAATTCATCGGAATATTTTATTCTTCTTGTTTTATGAATTGTACCGGATAACTTTTGACCCCATGAACCGTTTCACTTGCTGGCATTAAGTTCGAGGATAACAATTTTTTGCGAAGTTGTTAAATTTTATTTAAAAAAAATTTAAAGCAGGGCTGTGTTCGGCTATGCCGACGGCTTCACACCTTTCACGAACGTCAGAAAATTTTATTTCAACCGATTACTGTATTTTAATTAGAGGTTTTGGAGCCAAAAAAAAATATTATATTCACCTGTGTCGCTTCGATTACGTAACCGAATTTCAAAAAAAAAAATTAACCATTTTGGTTAGGACTAAGAATTTATAATTTATATCGTTGGCTTAGTATAGAAAAACCCTATCTCAATTTTTTTTTTTTCAAAAGTTTTTACGGATGCACAACCTTTTACTGGGAGATTTTTTGAACATGCTAATTTATATAGTAATACAATAAACGCCTGCTAGACTAAACGCTGCTGACTTTAGTGAGCCCTTAAACCGAATAAGGCCGAGTAGCGCCACCAAAGTCTCGTCTCCTTCTGGCGTGGAGCACGGTTTCACACGATTTGGTTACCGCCTCTCGCACACAGGTTGCTCACATTATCCAGAGCGTGCGAGCAAAGGACGCAAGAGTGAGGATTGACTATAGTCGTGGAACTATAACTGCGTACCGATAAAAACGACAATAAGGAGAGGAAAGACTTTCCAGACTAAAAGAAACCGCCTGAAGATAAAAAACAATATTGAATAGTTTGCTGAAAATCCGAAGTGCAAAACTGAGTAAAGAAAAAATTTCAAAAAAATATTTTTTTGGTATATTAACCTCTGCCCTTACCGTATACTAGATTCTGGATCAAATATCCTCAATATAATTGTTTTATCACCCGCGAAATACTCTCATCGATAATTCCAACTTTCCGCGGCCACGGCGTTTTGTCAAAAAGTAAGCATTAAGCAATCGACATAACGCGAGCAAAAGAAAAAAATTAATAAAAAATCACACTTTCAGTTATAAGAATATTTATTTTCAACAATTCTGTAAACTAAATTAACGTAAGTGGCGCAACTAATTTTTTCTAACTCAATTTCTATGCCGTAAAAATGGAATATGCAGAAAAAACCAGCCGCCGGCTTTTTCTATTATTTTCCGCTACAATGTTGCTAATACCCGCAAACGTGGCCACAGATATTGAACACCGCGTGCTGCCGCTGTGTTTTTATGCTTCTTCCATTTTTTATTTTTCAATTTTGTTCTCCCTTTGCTGCCTGGGCTAGTCGCTGCTATTAAATTCCGATTACTAAAATATAAAAAAAAATATTGAACACAAAAAATCTACAATCAAACAAAGCTCCCTAAAAAATGCTCAAAAGTGAAATTCACACAGTCCAAAAGCCTAAAAGTATGTAAACAAATGTCGATAACCTAGAAAGTGGCGCGCCGCCGTTAAAAAAATTCTAAATGTGTGAAAAAATTCTAATAAAATATGTATTTCGAAACAGAAACATAAAAAAAAAAAACAAATGTGTACCGACTACCAGTTTGCCAGCAACAACAACAGCAACGAAGTGCTGCAAATAAAAATTCAATTGCCACGCTAGTCCATTTTGACGGCCAATCTAAGCGCAAATGTCAAATAGAACATAGAAATTGGCGACATGCCTGGCTGGCTGGGCGTCTACATGCATGCATACATACATATATACATATGAGGGTGGTTGGGTGGTTGGCCGGCAGTGACTAACGGTATTTTTTCTAAATCACGCCAAATTGATTTGTGTGCACGAAGCTAATATTTATTTGTGTGTGCGAGTGTGTGCGAGGGATTTTATTTGACTGCGTTGGCAATACTTGCGGCTAGGCTAACATTTTTTAGGATTTTGCATTTTTTGTGACTTTTATAGATTTATTTGTTATTTTTTTGTTGCTGTTTTGTTTGCTCTTTTATTGTTTGCAATATTTGGCCTGATTTTTATGCCAAGATTATTTTTTTTCTCCCTTACTGCTGCAAATGGCCTAGAAAATTGTTGTCTTTATTATTTTATTTGACGGCAACTGGTGGCCATTTCACTACCGTCGGCTTTATTTTTAGAAGGCAGTGAAGTGTTGCGTCGAAGTTGTGATTTTAGTTTTGCTCCTCAGTCTATTTAGTGGATAATACTACCTACGTTTTGCTGTTGTAACTTTTGAACTTTTTTATGCTAAAAAATCAGAAAAGGAGTGAAATATCTGAAGTTAGTGAATTTAATATCTTTACGACAAAATATTACACGTCGTCAACCAAAAATCTTGTTCAGTGCTTTTTACAATTCTGGATGGAAGAAACTCGTCTTCTATTGATTGATTATAATTTTTATTTTCCATCCAAATTTTGGAAAAAAATCCGGGTCCCTTTGAAAATCTTTTTAGTCGATCCTGAAGGCAACTATGCTTGTTAACATAACTATTCTCCAGTCAACGGATCTCAATTTTTACCCGATTTGAATTTTCATTATTTTAAGTAAAATCCGATGAAACTCCTTATATATCGTTGTCAGCTGATTTTTGAAAAAAGCACAATACAACTGAAATTTTTTTAGTTTTTATTTTTAAAGGAGTAATTTTCTGAAAAATTACACTTTTTATACAAATTGTATGTCACTAGTAAAGGCACACGTCATTAATAATTTCAGGTAGTATAAAGTAGTTGCAATTTTTTCTTATTTTTTTGTACAATTAATTGCCAATAAATACTGTGTTGACTTTCAAATGTATACCCATTTAATAAAAATTCATTAAAAACTAAGTTTTTGCTTAAAAGCCACTTTGAATATAAATTTTGAGTAAATATTAAAGAATTCTGTGCAAAAGATGTGAAAACCCAATACAAGCCTAAAAGCATAAACAGATGGCTGCGTTGATCCGGATTAACTCGGGAATTAACTGCAGTTGATCCGGATTTTGTCCGAGTTAATCCATATCAACGCTGCCGTCTGGTTAAGCTGTAACTTCGAAAATTTGTATCCGGTTAAACAATGGCACTTTTCGACATATACTATAACTTTCATAGCCATATTTGAAATTAGCAATGGTCCAAGTTTTTAATTGATATATTTTGTAGATACAAATAAGTAAATTTTTCAAAAAAAAAATTAAGAAAAACCAAAAAAAATTTCAATTTTGACACAAATTAAAAAAAGTTCACAAAAATTTAGACCCGCAGACTAACTTGTCCATGACCACCTTTATTTTATCCACTATAGGCCGGCTACTCGTTGCAGCATTCTCAAACGAAATTATTCGTTTCCAAAAAATATATGTATGATTTTTCAAATCGGATAAAAGCAGTTAGGTAATGTACAGATGAGTGCAACAATGACGAAACTAGCATTTTTTCTCTAATAAAAAATAAGGGTTCTGAGACTATGAGAAATATACTATGATGCTATATTCGATCCTACCTACAGTTTGCACGTAGAAATAAACGTTGGGTAATAACTGTTATCAAGTAACGTAAAAAATAAATGTTCGGAAATAACTCTTATCGGCGAAATAAAAAATATGTCTCATCTAATAACTGTTATGGAACCACCTTTTTCTGATAAAAACCTTATAACTATTATGTCCCTGAATTTAATAATTTACATTTAACTTTGAACTTGGACTTTTGTGGCAGCAACAAGAAAATACAAAATTTTTCATTAACTTGTCACAAAAAAAGTGGCCGTCGCGCGAGTTTGTTTTCCTTTGTGTTCTCTTCTTTGATTTGTTTCTATGCTAATACGGCTACTAAACGCACAAAAAAAAAGAATGTATACACTTCTATTATTTACATACCTATGCACATTTTTTGTCAACTGTAAAAACGCCAGTTTGCTCGCAGCCATATGAAAATTGTGTCATATAAAAGTCTAAAAATGCAGAATTGTTTTTTGTTTAGCAATTTTCGCACGGCATTTTTTGCGATTGAAATGCGCCGGGGTTTTTTTTTTTAAATGTATGTATGTAACACGGAGTAAACAAATTGGTTCAGATGTGAGCAAACCAAAAAATGGCTTAGAAATTTGTATGCATATGTTTGAATTTTTTGCTAAAAAAAATATGTTTGTATGTATTATGTCGCTGTTGCCATTTAGGTTTGCCCTAACTAACGGCAGGACTAAATATTATTTTGCACTCATTCAATTTAGTAAACGGTGCTAAATTCAATCGTTTATTTCTTAGCTAGTCCTCAGCGTTTTTTTTGTAATAACATATGAATAAACATTAGACTGCATCACTCCCCATACAAAAAAAAATCGGTACTATTTTTCCATTGGATTTATAAAATCTATTATATTTTAAGACGTCCACCAAAATATTTTGAAAAAATATTAAGATTTAAGTGAGCTGGACCGATTTGAAAATACCTCCAAAAATGGAGTTTTTTATGAATAAAAATAGTTTTTTAAAGATTTTTTTTGAAAAAATCCCCTCAAATTACAAAACGTTTTAAGCTTAAAATATTTGCATAAAAATATTTAAAAAAAAAAACAAAAATAATTTTGTACGGAATCGTAATGATGAGATTTTTGATGCTATTTTTTACTTTTTTCAAAGGTTGGTATAAGAAAAACTTGAATAACTGAACCTAAACTCTTCCGATTTAGACTTGAGAGGTGTCATTAGAAAGGTATTTTCTCACCCTTTGTATTTCTTTGCTAACAAACTCATTCGAAGGATGGAAGAGAAAGGTAGGATGAACGAACGTCATTGTGTTGGTATTCGAAAAAACAAAATGGGACACGAATGACGTTTTTTGGCCAGAAATAAAAAC